AAACCTTGTGGTACCTGCGACAATGAAGAAGATAACGCCAGGTACCAATCACCAAGCTCCTGCACCCCCCCCCCCTCTTCTGCCTCCCTACGCTACTACATCTGATAAACGTTATCGCTAACACATTTCAGTCATCCAATCTCTCTCTCTCTCTCTCTCTCTCTCTCTCTCTCTCTCTCTCTCTCTCTCTCTCTCTCTCTCTCTCTCTCTCAAGTAATTCATCATAATAAATGGCTAAAGTATCGAGCAATGGAAAAGGAAAAAAGAAACGAAGAAAAAACAACAATGAAACAAACAAAAGCAGAAAACTAAAACGAAATCAGAACGAAACGGAAAAGAGAAAAAAAGGAAGACGGCGAAGTGGTGGGAACCTCATCCCCCCTCCCCCTCCCCCCCACCCTATCCCAATATACCTGGCCAGCCGTTAATTGCTGTTTACCTCCCACCCCTCCCCCCACCCCCCATCCCCATCCCCCCACCGCCACCGCCGCCACTGCCTTCGATTCCCATGTGAGATCCTGCAAGCGGCTCGGCCTACCTGTTACGCCTCTTATCGTGTACCTGTGTCGGCGCGCGTGTGAGAGAGCGAGCGGGCGAGCGAGTGAGTGAGTGTGTGAGTGAGTGAGCGAGCGAGTGTGTGAGTGAGTGAGTGAGTGCCCAGCCCGATAAGCCTAAGGGATATTAACCGTCGCCTGCAAGTGAAGTGGCGACAGGTGCTTAGGAGGAAGAGGAGGAGAGGATGGAGAGGATGAATGAGAGGAAGAGAGGATGAAGAGGAAGAGAGAAGAGAGGAGGAGAGGAAGAGAGAAGAGAGAGGAAGAGAGAGGGAGAGAGAGAGAGAGAGAGAGAGAGAGAGAGAGAGAGAGAGAGAGAGAGAGAGAGAGAGAGAGAGAGAGAGAGAAAGGAAGAGGGAGGATGGGGAAAACACAAGACAGACAGAGAAGGCATGAGAGGAGGAAGAGAGAGGGAGGGAGGGAGGGAGGGAAGGAGGGAGAGAGAATGAGGAAGAGAGACGGAGTCGGAGACAGACATGACGAAGGAGAGGAGCAGCAGCAGCAGCAGCAGAAGCGGAGGCAATTTAAACTCCAAGCCCCGCCGCGATGACTCGTAGGAATCCGCCGTTGGAGAAAGCGGCTGGCGGTCACTATCTTTCCCCCTCCCCCCTCCCTCCTCCCCCTCTCCCCCATCCTCTCCTCTTCCTTCTCCTCCTCCTCCCCCCCCTCCAAATTCTAACCGACTGGATCTGTCAGCCTACCGCGCCTAGGGATTCCCTCCCTCCCTCCCCCCCCCTCCTTCCCTCCCTCATCCCCCCTTCTCCCCCCCCCTCCGAAAATGGCAAGTCACTGGATTTGGAGCGAATCTTAAAAGCCCGGCGAGTCACTGTAACACGAAGAAGCAAATTCAGGAGACATTGCGAACCAACACACGCACACACCCATTCATACATACATACATACACACATACATACCTCTATGCCAATATTCATACATACGTACATACATACATTGAATACACATACAAGGCATACACACAGCGTTCTCTTTCCTTCCAGCCAAGTGTTTAAAAGGACGAAAATGAACAAGAAAAAAAAAAACTCCCCGACCGGAACGCGGAAAGAAAAGCGAATCGCCGACCGAAACAGGCGCCCCAACACGCCCCTTATAGCGAAGGCGCAGACGACGGAAACCCGCGGGCGTACGTCAGCGGGCGCCCTATCTCACACATCCAAAAACCCTCCACCCCCTCCCCAACCCTCCCTACACACCTCTCTTCCCCTCCCCCTTCCCCATCCCTTCCCCTCCCCCTCCCTCCCCCTTCCCCATCCCCATTCGCCCGTCCTCTATCCTCTAACCTTGAACCTATGCGTCCGCGCGCGCACAAAAATTCCTCGCACTGCTATCTGTAAAGGGAGGGGGGAGGGGGCGGGGACACGTGTAATGCATAATGTCATTTGCGGTACACCTGTGTCCCCCCCCACCTCCCCTCCTTCCCCTCCTCCCTCCTATTCCTATCCCCAACCACCACGTACGTACACACACACACACACACACACACACACACACACACACACACACACACACACACACACACACACACACACACACACACACACACACACACCTAAACCTTTGCACGAATCTAAACCAAACCGACACACAATTCAAGACCACAAACAAAATAAACAAAATCAAACCAAACCAATACGTAGGGCAGAATGAAGGGAGAGGGGGAAAGGGGGGGGAGGGCAACGAGTGACCCGGGGCACAGCGCACACCCCGGGCGAGGTCACATTACCACATACCAGAGCGGACACAGCGGGAGGGAAGTCGGGCAGGGTGAGAAAACGGGGAGGGAGGGAGGGAGGGAGGGAGGGAGGGAGGGAGGGAGGAAGGGAGAGAGGGAGAGAGGGAGGGGGGGAGAGAGAGAGAGAGAGAGAGAGAGAGAGAGAGAGAGAGAGAGAGAGAGAGGAGAGAGAGAGAGAGAGAGAGAGAGAGAGAGAGAGAGAGAGAGAGACCTTTAAAACAGCAAACTCCCCCCCCCCCAGAATTAACCAATCAAATCAATACCACAACAAAAGCAAAGAAGTAAAAAAAAAGACCCCCAAAAAAGAAAGCAAAAAAAAAAAAAAAAAAGAGCGCGAAAGAAAGCTAAACAAACCCGAATCGCCTCAGCTGCCCACTCCCCCCCCCCCCCCCCCCTTGCCATCGCCGAGACAGTCTTTGATTTAATAGACGGCCACCAGCTCCCTCCCCGCTGGAATCTTGATTGCGTCGCCTTACCTGCTCCCATCTCCCCCTCTCCCCTCTCCCCTCTCCCCCTCTCCTCTCTCCCCCTCTCCCTCTTCTCCCATGCCCATCCTCCCTCCCCTTCCCCTCTGTCCCCCCTCCCCGCTCTCCCCTTCGCCCTCTTCTCCCATGCCCTACCCTCCTTCCCCCATATCCTCTCCCCCTCCCCCATACCCTCTCCCCCTGCCCTACCCTCTCTCTTCCTCTTCCCTTCCACGCTCCTAAGGTACTCCCCCCCCAAATCTGGACATACCCTCCCTCTTGCCCTAGTAAGGTAAGTTGGGGGAATGGAGGGCGGGAGGGGTTGCTGTCGGGGAGGAGGAAGAGAAGGAAGAAGAAGAAGAAAAAGAAAAGGGTCAGTCTTACATATTACGTAAAAAAGAACCAATCAACAGTCCTTAATCCTGATGATCGAGGGAAGAAACAATTGCGAGAACAGGAGAGAGCAACAATGCGAGAACGGGGGGGGGAGAAATAAGGAGGAAGAAGAAACAATGCGAGAACGGGAGAAAATGAGGAGGAAGAAACGGACGAGAGAAGATGGACCCCCCAAAAAAACCGAGGAGACTGAACGACGGGGATCCACACCACACCGACAGTGAAGCAAGGCTACTCCATCCCGTAGACTTTTTCCACGTACGCCACAGCCCACCTCCACGGGCCGCCCGGTGGGTAAAGCTACCACAGATCGTACTGATTGCGTATTGTACGTAAAGAGAGAAAAGAGAGAAGAGAGAGAGAAGAGAAGAGAAGAGAAGAGAAGAGAAGAGAAGAGAGAGAGAGAGAGAGAGAGAGAGAGAGAGAGAGAGAGAGAGAGAGAGAGAGAGACCGAGGCTGAGCTAGGGCGTCGAGGAGCGAAGAGAGCAGGACGAGAGAGAGAGAGAGGGAGAGAGAGAGAGGAGTGCCAGAGAGCGAGAGGAGTTCCACGGAATGCGTACCAGCCGTGAGCACTTGTTTGTCATGCAACCCTTAGCTACCCTATTCCCTATCTCTCCTGCACATCCCCACCCGTCGCCCCCCACCCCCCCACCTTCCCCAGCCGAGCCAAACACCCTCACAATATCCCTTCGCTCTCGTCTCTCCCTAGCCCTGCCTATCCCCCCCTCCCCCCCGCACACCCCACTTCGGTAACCTTGGCTAGCAATGGAGGTGGCATTTCCGACCATACGCGACAGATGTTTACGGAACACCTGTCTCCGTAATGATCTATTCCTCACTCCCTCTCATTAATATGGATGAGCCAGGCGTCGCGGCCCGAGACGGCAGAAGAATAGGGAGGCGAGAGAGTGGGAGGATAGGAAGGGATGAAAGGAATAGGTATAAAACACCGCCCGAGCAAAGGACGGGAAAGCGAGAGAGGGGATGAGACATATATAGAAGGAAGGAGAGTAAGCAAGGGTGGAAGGCAACTCACAGCTGATAGTCTTGTCCCAATGACGCAATCGCAGGCGCCAACGAGACGCGGCGCCCCCCCCCCCCCAATCCCCCGTCACATGTTAGTGAGCCCTCCCCTCCCCACCTCTCCAGCAGCGCGAGCCCGCCAATGCCTGACACTCGCGGTCTCGATTCTAACGCAGAATGAAGGAGGGAAGGGATAGAGAGGATAGATAGAGAGGATAGATAGCGAGGATAGGGAAGGGCAGGGAAGGAGAGGAGAAAGGGAAATATGGGGTCCTCTTTCCCCCTCTATTAACCCCCTTACAAATAGGATCAAAAGGGGAGAGAGAGAGATTCCTTGGCCGAAGTTTGGTCACGGAATGAAATAAAAACTTGAACCAGAGCTCGGAATTCAAAGGGCGGTCCCGCGGCGAGTGAAAAAGGAGGAGGAGGGGAAGGAGGAAAGAGGAAGGGGCAGGGTATGGTGAGGAGGGGAAGGAGGAAAGAGGAAGGGTATGGTGAGGAGGGGAAGGAGGAAAGAGGAAGGGGCAGGGTATGGTGAGGAGGGGAAGGAGGAAAGAGGAAGGGAGCAGGGTATGGGAGGAGGGCGAGAAGGGCAAAGGGAGGGAGAAGAAGAGGAGGAGGAGGAGGAGGAGGGACGCCTCAATCTATCTTTCATGAGTGGAGCCCCAAGGAAATGTCAACGGGAGGGGGGAGGGTAGTCATCTACCGCGCTGCCCCGCCCGGCGGCACCTCCTCGTGACTCACCGGGACTCGCGGCCCGGGAGGCGAGGGCGTGAGTCAAAGCATGCACACGAGGGATTAGGCCTACTCACCGGAGTCTGATGGGGTGTGGAGAAGCGACGACGACGGGTAATGGCGGCGATGTAACGATAACGTCGACGACGATGTGGTGTGTGTGGAGGTGGAGGTGGAGGTGGAGGACGAAGATGACGCCGACGAGGACGCCGACGCCGAAGATGACGAGGACGAGGACGACGACGACGACGACGACGATGACGAGGACGTCGACGACGTCCGCGTCGCTGGCGAAGGTATTCTCGAGCAGTAGTAACTGTGGTCGATGTGAACGATGTCGAGTGAGGAGTTGGGCGGCTCCTCGCTCGTGTAGACCTCCTCCTCGCGACACACGCCGTAGTGGTTGGTCTCGATGTCCTCGTCCATGTGGTCGTTGTCCTCGTCCGTGTCCGTCTCGGAAGACTCGGAGGGGGTGTCGGGGCGGGCCACCTGGTGCGTGAGGGGGTGGTGCAGCCCCGCGGGGTCCGCCACCGCGTCGATCTGGGCCTCGTCCTCGGGGCTGTGCAAGTCCGCCAGGTGCGTGAATCCCGCGGCGTACTCCAGGGCGCCCGACGAGTCCATCAGGATGTCTGTGATGTGTGAGCACGAGTCCCTGTGCGTGCGGCTGGGCTGGTGGTGCGCGTGCGCCTCGGCCGTGCACGTGCCCTGCCACATGCAGTCGTGGCGGAGCTCGGAGCCCGCCAAGGCGAGCTGTGTGCAGCTGTTGCAGTTCTCCTGAGCGAGGCCGTGCGCGCAGGGCACGGGCTCCGGCACGGTGCTGCCGCTGAGCAGGAACTCATCCAGGTCAATGTTGTCCAGGTCCACGTCCAGCTCGTCGCCCTCCAGCAGGGGCAGGTCGATGGGCAGCAGCAGGTCGTCGGGCAGACTCCCCAGGTCGAACTCGGTGTCCCTGAGCGGGGAGCGCGGCGGGGTGGGGATCAGCTCGAACTTCTTCCAAATGTCGTTGGAGAGCGTGGGCCCCTCCTGGGACCACGTCACGTCCGGGTCCAACTCCAGCATCTCGTTGGTCGCCAGCCACACGCGGTCCTGCGGGAGGAAACAGACACTTAGACACACGCTCACGCGGCCGCTACGGCGCTGCCTCAGGCTCCCCTCGCCCTCCAAGCGCCACTCACCCAGCAGCCGCCACCGAAGGGGTCAGCCTGGGCCTCCGGGCGGGCCAGCTGGGCCATTGCAACGGGTATGGGTACGGGGCGGGTTGTACGCTTGGCACTCGGGCTCGCAACCGCTCTGCAACGCCACGTTGGGGGTCCTGGCCGCCGCACGCTGCAGAGGCCGACCACATGGAAGCAAAGAATCGATACTGGAAGCTTGCATCACATGTGAACACAGGCGCTCGGCCACCCGCGTCTTCAGGCGCCCCGAGTGCATGTACACCTGCCCCCTCATCCTATACCCCAGCGTACCCCCGTTCTATGCAACATTTCCCATGGTTAATCATTCTCCGCCTCCCCCCCCTCCCTTCACCCTCCCCTGCCCAAATCCCCTCCCCCGTTCCAATCCGTTCCAAGTCCAGGAAACTCGCGCCTAACAGGAATCCCACTCGAGGCCGCTTCCCTCAGGCATCAATCAATAGAGGAGAAAAAGGGCGCATCACATTCATCGCTAACTTTGCCTTCCAGATGCGTGTCGGCGCGGGTTGCACCACTTGGCGTACTCGCGGAAGAGGGGCGGGCGGGGGGAGGGGGGGGGCAGCGGAAGGGGAGGGGCGGGGAAGGTAAGGTGGAGGAGGAGGAGGAGGAGGAGGGAGGAAGAGGAAGAGGAGAACGCTAGTGGTGGGAGAATTATTGAAACGCCATACATCTTCATGAACCCATCAATCAGTCAATCTATCTCTTTCCCCACTTCCTTTTATGCAATACAAAGGGAAGGAAATACACTCCTCTAAAGAAGAGAAAGAAATACCATCGTGGTGTGAAACAACAAACCCCTTTTCTCTCCCGAAATAAAGCCATTTAACCACCACCTGACGCCCCCCACCCCCCGACTCCTCCCCGGCCCCTCGAGCACCCCAAAACAACACTGCAGGCGTTGCACCAGACCGAGCAACACACACACACACACACATACGCACGAACACATGAAAACACACACACACACACACACACACACACACACACACACACACACACACACACACACACACACACACACACACACACACACACACAGAGCCAGCCGCCCATGACAAGCCCCCCCCCCCCCCCCCTGTGTCCTTGAACGGGGTCTTATAAAGCTGGCAATGACCTTAGCACAGTGCAATACAATCTTGCCACCTCCGCCGCCGGTGAGAGAGTTTTTTTTTTTGTCTCTCTTTTTGTTTTGTTTTGTTTTTGTTTTTTTTGAGAACACTTCTTTTAAATCTTGTTGATGTAAGGGGCCATAGGGTGGGGTGATGTTGAAGATGTTGAAGATGTTGAAGAGGAAAGGGAATGGTAGAAAGAGGGAGAAGAGGAGGAAAGGGGGGGAGGAGAGGGGAAGGAGAGAGAGCAAGGGAAGAAGGGGGGGGGAGGGGGA